CCAACGGTTGGTGACCAAGTCTCATTTAATCAAGGGCGTTCATTGAGACACAGCGAACAATTTAAGGTCAATGACAAACACATGAGGCTAGTGCGTGAAGTTCCAATTCCCCAAATGTGCAAAATGGCGAACATGGTGCCGGAACTGTTCACAGCAGTTACCTCGAGGGCGAATTTTGCATAATCGGTTCGCAGAATGACGGACACCACTTTTGGTTCGCTATGCAAACTCAAATGATTACCTGGCCACTCAAGCAATTTCTCATCCACGTAACCTCATTTTTTGTATATGTTCTCTACGAGAACACTTTGATACTACTCACACTAATAATGGAATTACGAATTACGAACTTTCATGTTACCACAAAACCGAACTGTGATCTCGACCTGGATGAGCCCACCAAAGACAACGCAGCATATTGCTCGTGTACCTTTCTTGACTAGGATGCAGCTGATTAAGAAACAAATGTGAACGTGGAAGGATCACAAACTAAACCACTCGTTCGAAACTCAGCTTAACGTGTTATTGGTTAACACAAATTTTCATTTAAAAAGACTGACGAATTGTTTACATAGATTCCTCATATATGTATAAAAATGATGATACCTTTCTGTGATCTTTACACCTATATATTTTAAATTGATATTAAAAAAAAAAACATTTCGTTGAAAATAGCACTGATAAATAAAGATGTTCGATTGGTAGGCGCATTTAGAATAACAACGTATCAATCTCAAAAACAAAATCATTTAAATGTTTGCGAAGTTTTGTTGAGTATCACGAATACTAATGAAGGAACGAAGATTCACACAATGCGTGAAAAAAACACCGACATTTTGCATGGTAGCTTTCTTTTTATCTGGTCGAACGCATGGACATCAGTATTGTCTGCTTTTTCCTCTTTCTCTCGCTGTTTCTTCAATACAGTGTGTTATCATGAAATACAAAACAAACAATTCGTTGAAGTGGTCACTGATAAATAAGTGAAAGTCTTCAATTGATAGGTTCATTTAGCATAAAAACGTATCAATCTCAGAAACCGTCAGAAACAAAAGTTCAGAACGCACAAAACGAATGTTAATCTTCATTTACGTTTGGTATCGCTTCAACGGTTCTCTGTAAGTGATTCGCGTTGAACGTGTCTTTGTTTCGCTTTTCTTTCACTCGATGTGAATTTAAATACTGTGAATATTTTTAAAAGCCTTTCATTGTTGTTCGCATATCGACTTTTTCAGAATTTAAAGATGAAGCTGCTTTTGATGTGGATCCTCGTCGTGCTTGGTGCGTATAATGAAAAAATTGTTCCAAATAAAATAAAACAATTCAGTTCAATGTTATTTCCGGTGGAAACGTATCGGTAATAGTCATACACGGAAAAGAATCCGATTTTTTATGTGTTTGCGGCAAAATTTGACATTTATTTATGAATTTCTATATACATTCTATCGATAACACTTCAATTTTCCGGGCGATGACATAATTTCAAATATTTAAACACAAATTAGCGCCAGCTGTCATTTCGGGTGTTAAAATGAACTCAGCCCGGAAGAATGAAGTGCTGTCGGTGAAATGTATATAGAAATTCGTATATAAATGTCAAATTTTGCCGCGAACATGTAGTAACGCAGTGAATGAGTGAACAGTATGAGTGCTGGTAAACGACTGATTTATTGTACGATTCTTAATACTAATGAACAATAGCTGTCAGTGTCAGTGATGACAGATACTTATGCTACAAGTGATGTGAATTCAAATAAGCATCAATTTTTGATCTGAAAGAAAAAACACATGGAAAAATGTGATTTTAATTAAAAGCAGTGTCAAAATTATTCAAAGCGTTTTTTTTCTTCAAATAAATAAGACAATTAAAGTGAATCAATTGATTTTTTTTAAAATAAGCGTTTGATTCACGTTGTTCCGACGATGCCGAGTTCGTTGAAATTACACCTGAGCTGCAGCAACTGTTTCTCGATGCACACAACAAATTGAGACATCAACAAGCCAATGGAGAGACACTCGGATATGAGCCAGCTAAAAAAAATGGCCACTATGGTAACAAAACGTTGAATTAAATGAGCATGGTGAAGTGTAAATGTGTAATTCATCCAAACTTGAACTGTATTCTATTCCACTAGAAATGGGACGATGAATTGGCCACGGTTGCAATGTACAATACAAAACAATGTCGAATGGATCACGATGTATGTAGAAGCACACACAAATTCCAATATTCGGGGCAAAATTTGGCGCTGCATGGTGACACAAACAATGAATTCCTTGCCAACTGGGCACCGGGCTACTGGTTCCAAGAATATCCACGGGCTAATATGAATGATATCCGTAAACAAGGCCGTTTGCGTGATTCGAATGGGCAAGAAAATGTTCGATTTAAATTCTCTATTAGCATTTTTAAATCAATGATTCAAATTTGAGATAGCAAAGAAGGAAAAAAATGAAAAAAAAATAATTACTCATTTGCTCGCATTACAGAAAAGATATGGGCCATTTCACGCAAGTCGTAAAGGATAATGCATACACATTGGGCTATAGCATCGCAAAATATACCGATAAAAACGGCGCAGGCAAAGCGTTGGTCGCATGCAACTATGCCGTGGCCAATATTGGCGATTGGCCGATTTATGACGATGGTCCAACCGCATCTGATTGCCAAAGTGGAACGAATCCCAAATACCCCGCACTTTGCAGAGAAGATGAAGTCTACGATGGACCATTCTTCCGAACATAAATTTATTACGTTTCAATTGATCTATTTTTTATGACGAATTTTCGATCAATTATTTTATTACGCCCCAAAAATGTGCATTGGAATTTTTTTTTTCGGAATAAAAT